CTGACAGTAAGCCAAGAAAGGAACTGTGTCTCTGTGCAGTCTTGCACGCATGCCACCCTGCTTACTCTGCACAACACAAAAGAACATATTTAGACTTGTTTTTAAGGACATAAGGCAAAAGGATGGCATGCAAAGGACCTACTGCTCTCTGTATTGTGCCGAAAGTTCCTCTTTCTTGAAATGAACAACAAGTCTATAACTATTCTAGTCTATAACAATAAAACAGGGTGACGAACTTGGGACTACTTAGTATCATGGCTGAGTGCTATGATGGCCACTGGAACTTGTGCAATGTTTTTAGAGTTTATTACTATTATATTACATTAACTGTGCAATATTTATTTTGATACATGGACTGTGCAATATCCTTTTATCCTGCTAATTCAAGTTTATGTGAATTTCTGTCGATTATTTATATTACCCTTATGTCTTTTATCTTATTTTCACTGAGGGAGTTGCACTCAAAATCTCGTTGAACCACGTTGAATGACAATAAAGCTTTCTTATTCTGATTCTGATTCTGAAGACACATCCCAGGCTTGGGAGACAGTTAAGGAAAGCATGGGGCACCCTAGCTGAGTTAAGGTGGCGGCCAAGTACTTATCGGGGTTCCTGTGCTGCAAGTAGTTCCCTTTCTTTCTTTCATCTTGTCAACTCTTAACTGCCAACTTGAAACTAATTACTTAAAATCCTTTTTAAACCAACAGGAACGAGGGGAAGTTAGGAAAGTGGCTGATGAAGACCAAGCTTTTGTGACGGGTGTTATTCCACTGTTGAACAAAGGGGGCAGCCACAAGCACATTACGATCTGACACACCAGAATGAGAAGTATTTTCGGACCATGTTTCATTTTAAATCATTACCATTTTATGTGTTTCTTTGCTGAAGATCTAGTCTTCATAATCAGGGTGCGATTTGTGTCAAAAAACAGAGGGGGGATGTTTTTTTCCTCATGACACGTGGTGATCCACGAGAATAAGATGAGAAGATTTGTAGCACTAATTAGAACAAATATCTGATGTTGAAAAACAGTATATGAGCGGGGAGTCAGAAGATATTGAGCATTAAACTCGTAATTTTCTGCATTCTGGAGAGAATTCCTGCATTTTTTTTACATGAAGGGAAACTATATCTAAATTCCTCTGCATGTTTTCTTATTGCTTTTTCATTTGTTAGTTAACATTTCTTACTGCAAACTATTTTTCAGAACTTTTTAAAGAAATGCTTCAAAAAGTGATGGGGACAAAATCAGCCATTTCAAAAAGTGATGGGGACATCCACAGTGTAAATGACACCTATGAGCTTCAGTAATTCAGCTGCCTACGTTATGTCGGCGCTGAACTCAGCTCTGGTGATTACCCACAGACAGAAAGAGGCAGCTGGATCAGAGCAAAGTAGCACATTTTAAAATTAATTTAACCCTAACAAAACTACGGATCGATCCAACACAAAAATGGGAAATGATAACCTTCTTCTTCTTTAGAGAACGTATTGGTAGAATGGTTGCATAAATCCCATATGCCACAATAGGAGGAGATTAAGTGTATTTTGGGTAAACTGAATCAAGAAGCGCTGAAGAGGATAAAGTAATAACAAAGATCACCCTTTTATCTCAAAAGAACCCTAATACACTATTAGGGGGAAGAAATGGACGTAGTTACCTCACATTAAAACTAGATGAAAGGGGAATTTATAAGATCTAGAGCAAAATGGCTTGAAGAATGAGAAGGAGAAAAAAACACACTTAATACATAATTCTAATAAAAATTGTAATAGACTAAATATGAATGGGATTGTTACATGACTTCAAAGTAATATCTTGTAACTGTGGTAACTTTTACAGAGATTTTTATAGCTCTATATTTTTGCAAAGAATCATCACCTTTCTGACAGTTAAATCTATTAATAAGAATGAAATGGAATTATTTAATAAACCCATCACGCTTGAGGAGATTAAGAAAGCAATTAATCTTCTAACAAACAACAAATCAACAGGTACTGATGGACTGACTTCAGAATTATATAAATCATTTGCTAACGTACTGACAACATACATATTATAAACAATGTTAGACTTGTCTTGGACATTATGGATTACTCAGAATTGATTGATGATAATGGATTCATTCTAGTTTTAGTTTTTTTTTTTATAAAGCTTTTGATTCAGTGGTGCATCAGTTTATCTTAGAATCTTTAAAGAAATTTGGCTCTGGTCATTTTTTCTGTACAGCTTGTAACTCTTTATAAGAATAGTAACAGTTCTGTTAAAGTAATGGGTGGTACATCCCCTGGATTTAATCTGTCCAGAGGCATTAGCCAGAGAGTTGCCCCACCTCCCTGTACCTCTTCCTCAGCTCAGCGTTTGGCAGAATATATTAAATAGTGCTGTGAAAGGTATCTCTTATTGGCAGAGAATTAATCATAACTCAGTTGGCAGATGACACCAAATTATTCTTGAAAAATGATAAACAAATCTCCGTGGAAACTGATATAATCAAGGAGTTCTCAAAGGCTTCTGGTTTGTACTTGAATGTACATAAATGTAAATGTATAGCCATTAAAGAGAGATCTAAATTTCTTTGTAATATTCCAATAAAAAATTACATACCATTTTAAGGAATATTAATTACTAAGCCAACCGAGGAGAATCACCTTAAATTTTAATCCTATCATGTAAAAACTCAAAATAAAATGTAACCAGTGGCTCTTAAGGAATCTGTTAAGAGCAGAGAGAATCTTGTGATTGACCTATGCAGCCTCAGTTCTGCATCTTGATGATAAACTACTAAAAGACAGAATGCTTCTCAATTTTACACAGAAAAACAGAACACATTACTTGAAGAAAACTGTTCTCATGAACTTGTGTGGAAATGGTGGGCTTCATTTTTTATTTTTGTTTTTACTTTAAATAATATATTTATAAACTGACGACAATCTTATAGAAACTACCTCTACCCTACCTCCATTAGGATTTTTTTAATACACCTTCATGTATTATCCAAGCTGGGTAACTACAACTTGCTTTTAGTTTGTAACTATGATATAGACCTGTACAAATATCTGTCTTTCAAAGCCAGGCTTTCTTGTCATGGTCTCTCATCTACAAGCACATTTTCACCTCATAATTAATTTATATGGAATAAAAAGGACTTTTTATATAAACACAAGTCTCCCTATTTGGAATATTGGTTTAACAATAACATTGTGTTGGTAGGTCATTTACCCGCAATGGTCTTCTATTTACTTATCAAGAATTTACTCTAACCAACACTCCCACAGGTAAAATGTGCTTTTCCAGTTCTATGGGTAACAGCAACAGATCTGTTCCAAAGAGCTATTACTACTACAGTACCATATGTGATATAATACTGAAATCCATTTGTGGATGATATAGTTGGGAAGTAGTCATATCTTCAAACGAATTGATACTTAATCACCAATAAAGTTAATAAATTCTTTTAAGCTAATTCATTAATTCTATCCAGCTAAAAACTATGTTTAGAAAAGATTTAAAAAAAGACATTGATGTGAATTGTAGTTTCTGTAGACTTTCTCGCAAAACTTATGCGCCTTTATTTCTGAAAACATTGATGATAGGCCTACGTTTGGAAAAATGTATTGTTTGGTCACCCAGAAAACAACACACATAGAAACACTTATGTGTACTTGGTTAATCTTCACAAAGACCACGTTTTTTTGTTCCTGGTGGACTGATGAAGTTTCTGTTTGCTTTAGAGTCATATTGTCCTCTTAAAGAGACAGAGTCAATATTTGGCCTGTCTGCAGCATAGGTCTGCAGCTGCGGAGCGGATGCGTGTTACTTTAAAACCCGCATGACAGATAGTAGTGGAGAAAGTGGGCTGTGTGAGTTTGTCCTGCTCGTGCCTTTAACAGTCTCATGCTCCGCCATCGACCTTTGGATCTCGAAGCGGATAGGCAGCTCCGTCGTCCACGGTGGCAATTGGCTGCGCTCTTCTCCACTGGCTACAGCTGCTTCCGCACATCGTGGGCCAAACGCAGCAGACAGTGCGCGCACATACAGTCTTTTACATGCATGCACGCACGCTATGTGGAGTGAGTGCGTGCGATGCTGCTGGAGCCTAAAGTCCTTCTTACCGTGGCGCTGTCTCTTATTGAAATGTTTGAAGATTAACGAGGTCACCCGTGTCCTGTAGACCACAAGTTACTGCCAGCTGCACCCTGCAAGCCAGGAAGACGACAGCGTGTCGAGGCGGACCGGGAGGAAGGAAATACCGCTATATCTGCGTCGGGCTACCGCAGTGCACGTAATAATGACCGAGAAACGGATGTCGCGGTGGTATTTCGGGGGCTTGCGTCCTGTGGAGCCGCCTGCTGCACGCATCCTCTGGATCTCCTCAAGGTGAGGAGCTAAAGGGAACAGTGAGTTTGTAACCCTCCTCCGGTGTGTAGAGTTAAGTGCAGGCCTGAACAACAGGCTACAGCTGTTTGCAGCAGTATTCATGGAGGACAGGCTTCACTACTCATATTACTGTGCCTGTTAGAAATCCTTGTGTGCAGTAAGCCTTTAGTTGGCCATGTCGTGCTCTGTGGTGTCACATTCCTCCTGCTGTAATGTGTGTTATGATGGCCAAGGCTGTTAATATATAGGGCACTAGTTAGGGCAAGTGAAACAGTCATTTGTGAAAAAATAAAAGAAAGTTGGATTAATTTTGAAGTACACATAATGTCTTAACGTTGCATTAGTTTTACATTTATTGAGATGGTTTAATTGAGATAAATATAATATGGTCCTTGTCAGATCTCACTGACCAAAGGGAATATTCGTGTTTCCCCCCTTATAAGCAGTCTGTGTGTGTGTGTGTGTCTCAGTGGGGTCATGCATGTTCATTGTTGTTGTTAATCTTTGCCTCATGATGCAGCACATTCCCTACCCAATGCCAAAATCCTTACTCCCTTTACTTGTGCCCCTCTTTTGGTTTTGAAGACAGCAGCACAGGACTCTGATCAACCTAACTGGTCTAACTCAGGAAGTCATGTGGTGTGTCCTTATGTAGACCAGTAGGTCATCTGGAGTGCTTCCTTTCTGCCATGGCATGCTTTGTTAGCTGGTGATGTCATATACAATTACAGTAGTAGAAGACTGAAGTTGCTTGAGACTTAATAAAGTCCTTACAGTTTATTTTTCCATGTACTACATACATCATTTTGTCGACCCATGTAATAGTTTTCAGTGTGGCCGTGTTACCTACTTGTGGTATTGAGATCAACCTTTAGGACTGATGAGTTTTTGCATGTGATTTTCATAAGACAATATTTGCAAACTATATAAGAAACAAAAAATAAACAATCCTGTATACAACTCAATTAGCAAAGATCTGTTTCTATCTATACAGTTATGTAACAGTTGAGGTCTGCGTTGTGTTGAATAACCAATGGCGATATAAGTCCATCCATCCATCCATCGTCAACCGCTTATCCTGCGTACAGGGTCGCGGGGGCTATATAAGTTATTGCAAAATCTGGGAAACAATGCACTTTCTGGAGTTAGAGTAGTCAGTGCCCCGTGCACACACTAAACAATACAATATGTTAGCTAGCTGCTACTTATCACAGTTAACAGTCCTGTTGTGAAAACCAGCACATGTAGCCATACATTAACACTGCGCATTAAACATGCACTACACATTAAAAATAAAAGTATGCAATGTTTACACCAATGTAGGGACACAAAACCTACCCTTAGTGTGGTGTTTACAGACTAAGACAATGGTGGCACATGGAGAAGCGTCTTGCTGCAGCTTGTAGATCAGGGTCCTAGGCGTGAGGGGGCGAGGCTTCGGGGGGCATGTCTACTGGCTGCAACTGGACCTTATTGGGCGCACACTGCGTCTCAAGACAGCAAGCACACCACAGTTAACCACAGGGTGTCGTTCTTTGCTTACTTGCAGACAGTACCAATGAACAAACCACAAAGTAGGCCTGCAAGGGGAATTATATAGTTCAACCCCGTTACACTTATTATCCAGAGAATAAGCCAGTAGGTCTGTCACCTCAAATAGTCTGACTATACAACATGATTATTTATTATATATACTTATTAAATTTTTGTATTCCACCTTACAAAAAATTTGCCACAGTTAGGGGGGCCAGACGGGGCTTATTATTATGGGGGCACTGGAACCCCCTCCTCCCCCCTTTAGAACAGCCAATGGTTATACATCTGCTCATCTAAAATGACAGATAAGAGCACTGCCTGGTGAAGCATGTTTGCTCACATTATTGAATCAAATTCTTTAAACCAGAGGTTCTTATAGTCTGGAGCGTGTTGGTTCGCAGCTTCTCCCGTCACAGCCTGAGCTAATATTCAAAAAGGATTGGGGATTAAATTAAATAATGCTAACCACATTAAATACTGTGGTTGTCATGTATTTCATGAGATCAAACTTTTCATGTTTAAATTAAAATCTTTAGGATCTAATTTTGTTCATGTTTAATTACAGCTTGCTCCGAATTATTTATTTGGGTCCCCAGAGATTTCATCAGATGTATCGCCTAAATAGCACATTTGTGTTTTTTACTCTTGTGTAATATAACCGTTAATGGTCCAAAATGCATCACTTGAATAACGTTACCGCAAAAGTTTTACCCCGAGAGCAGTCATTGTAGAATGAAATTAAATGATGGGCACACAATTCACCTTTAAACTGAGCTGCTTTCTTACAAAGCTTAAAAAGCGATAATGCTCTACACTTACTGCATTCCTGTTAAAGCTAACAGCAGAGCAGCTAATTTAGAAGGACTTAGGTTGTAATTTAGAAGAGAGATTATTTGAATGTGGTTTTCAGCAGGGAAGTAGGGCATGACCAGACACGCATATCACATGGCACAGATTGCCTAGTCATGTTTTATTGGCTTCCTCTTATATCAGATAAGGTGCTCTATTGTTCTCCCAAACTGGTTCAGCAGAGTGTCAAGATTTGTCGGACCTCACCTAAAAAGCAATCTTTTAGCCAGGCACTTGTCATCTCATCTGGGTGTAATATTTCACCTCTGTATAAGTGCACGAGTGTCCCTGTGCACATACACATTAGCTTGCTAGTGGCTCAGTATGACATTGTCTTACCAACACTTTGCAGTTCACTTTATCATAGCTTTAAGGAAAATACCAGTTACATTTACAGTCAATTCAGCCTACATCTTAAACATTCTTGTTTCCCTCAGGATGAAATGTAATAACTGTAGTGATCCCTTAACCTTTTTATTTTTCCAACACTTTGGTTTATGGCCAAACACCTGCAAAACTAATGCCATACCTCAGCCACAGCTGCTTCTTTGTGTTGTAGTGCTCATGAGGGAAATTTATCTCTTTAAAGGTAAAGTCACACAGGGTTTCCCCAGGTCAGGTTTAGGGTTATTTGCAGAGCTAAACTAAGGCAAAGATCACAGCCAGTGACTCTCCAAAGTTAAACTCTGTCTCTCTTCCCTGTCTGTTTGGTTGACTAGACTGACACAGCTGCCTTGATAAGTCTGAACTCTGTGGTCTATCTACAAGGTCAAGATTAGCTTTGTTTTGTTTTAGAAAGACTAATCCGATCAGAAATAATAACATGTGACAACATTCCTTAGTTAAGCATTAGAGTTCAACATCCAATAAGATATTTAGGCCCGTAGAGAATTACCTGGTTTGGGGTACATTTTAGACTCCATAGGGATACATATTGTATATCAAAAAGTGATCAGTTTGCATGTGTTATCACTCCAACACAACATCCTTCTATAAGCGAGGAATCTTTGTGTGTCTGTATTTATATTAGCTGTTAAGGTCAGTGGAGGTGATGCAGAGGTACAGGGTGATGATGACCCTAGTCACGTTGATGAGGAGGGAGAGAAGAAAGAGGAGGAGCTGCAGGAGCCACAGGAGAAGGAGAAGGACAATAGAACCAGAAAAAACAGTGACAGGGGCAGTGTGCAGGGCTGAGTAGGTAATCATATGTAGAGATACAATTAGAAAATGTATTATTGTTAGTCATATTTATTACTGATCTTCTTCTCATGTGTGTATATAGCTGTACAATCAGTCCAGCACAGGGGAAGCTAGCAAGGGAGAGGCCTACTCAAAGCTGAAGATGAGGGATTTGATTTTTATGCAAACACACACACACACTGCTCTATGTTATGGGACTGTATTGTAGTTTTTGATTATATTTAACTAATTTAGCACTCTTAACAGGCTGTACACATGACATGTTGGTGGCAGTTGTATACTGTATCTTACGCTGGGCATATTTGAAATATTTGCTACGTTCCCTAGCTATGATATTAGTTTTATTAACAAATTAAACTCAATCAGCAACAGAAAACTACTTCCTAAAAGAGAAAGCAAGCATGTAAGAAGATTTAACTGAAAACACAAAACTGAACACTTAAATTAGTAAAAAACTTTTAACACCCTTTCTCCTCTTAGGGAGTAAACAAGAGCCTACAGCTCCACTCTGCTGTCTGACCCTAACTGGTGCACTGACCCCATAGGGGTCATTTACACAGGGGATGCTGGGGACATGTCCCCACCACATTTTGAAAGATTTTATTCCCATCACTTTTTGAAAGTATTTGTTAAAAATGTTCTGAAAAATAGCTTGCACCAAGAAATTTTAACTAACAAATGAAAATGCTTTGAGAAATGGTTTATTTGCACAATAAGAAAATATGCAATACAATATAGTTTTCCCTCATAAAAACAGACATTTCCACTGTAAATGGGAGCAGAATGTCTCCAGGATGCAGGAAATTACGAGTTTAATGCACAAAATCTTGTGCAGGGGGACCTCCAGACCTCCATATTTCCGCATCAAATATTTAATTTAAATAGTGCTAAAAATCTTCATGTCTTGTTCTCATGCATCAGCACCAAATGTATCATCATGCCACTAATCTGAGCCCTTATGTCCCCACCACTTTTTGAAATGGCTGATTTTGTCCCCATCACTTTTTTAAAGCAAAATTTGTAAAAACATGCAATGCAATTAAAATACATAGTCTAAAAAAAGAAGAAAAAAAAAACAAGCTACTGATTATAAAATGGCCGAAAAACGTGCATGCACCAATCAGTAACTTTAACAACTTTTAACACATTTTCCGTTCTCTCCCTGACAAAAGAGGAGAGAGACTAAATCATGCCTGCATGTGTGTTGCCTCAGCAGGGATGATATTACAAGAGAAAATTTGATCTACAAGAGAAAACAGATCTGAAAGCAACATAGAATGCCTGAGATCTGCACTTACTTATATTCTATTATATTTATATATTATGAAACGTCAAGTATTGCTTGAATTTTCCTTTTACATAAATAAAAACATTTCCACCATAAATTGGTACAGAAACTTTCACCAGAATGCAGGAAATTAAGTGTTTAATGATCAATATTTCCAGGGGGAGGCCCCCCCCAGACCCCCTGCTCATATAACTCGGCATTGAGGATATCTTTAAAACCACTGTTTAAGGATCTTTTCGTCTAATTTTCATAAGCTTAATATTGCGTGTTGTGATGTCTCGTGAGCTAAGTGTCTCTTCACAACCCTTATTTAAGCCCCTACGCCGCCACCACTTTTCAACACAAAGTGACGCACTTGCATATACCCGTGACTCGCAGTACAAAATGAAAAGGTAAACTTTGTGTAGACACCAGCAAATGTGTAGTCACAATAAACCTGTATTATAAACCACATTACTGATTTTGCTTGTGCAATGATTAGTTCTCCCAAATCTCAGCCTAAGTGAGCTGAGAGGAAGCTTTGGAACTTGAAGCTTTAACAAAGTCAGGGACTAAATGTTTAACTTGCTGTCTGACTTGGTGTTGAAACCAGTGTGTGGTGATTAAAGTGAGCAAAAATAGACAAAATGACTGAAAAAATTATGAACAATAAGACTGGTGATGAGGCAGGAAAAGCATTGTGTTTTGAAGGGGTTAGTGCACTTCAAACTCAAATACTGATTAGACAGAGGACAAAGGCCACATTGTAGAGCTGTTCTACAATAACACACACACACATGCACACACACACACACACACACACGGGTTAAGACACTGAGAAAACATGTGTAAATTATAACTGCCAGTGTTAAACATTACTCTCTTGCTGCACCAATTTGAGTTGGTGCTTTTCTCACATATACTATATTGCCAAATGTTTAGGAAACCCCTCCGAATCATTGAATTCAGGTATTCCAATCACTTCCGTGGCCACATTTGTATAAAATCAAGCACCTAGGCATGCAGACTGCTTCTATAAACATTTGTGAAAGACTGGGTCGCTCTCAGGAGTTCAGTGAATTCAAGCGTGGTACTGTGATAGGTTACCACCTGTGCAATAAGTCCATTCATGAAATTTCCTCACTATTAAATATTCCACGGTCAACTGTTAGTGGTATTATAACAAAGAGGAAGCGATTGTGAACAACAGAAACTCAGCCACTTAAGATAACAGAGGGGGTCAGCGCATGCTGAGGCGAACAGTGCGCCGAAGTCACCAACTTTCTGCTGAGTCAGTAGCTACAGACCACCAAACGTCATGTGGCCTTTTGGATTAGCTCAAGAACAGTGCGTAGAGAGCTTCATGGAATGGGTTTCCATGGCCGAGCAGCTGCACCCAAGCCTTACATCACCAAGTGCAATGCAAAGCATCTGATGCGGTGGTGTAAAGCACGCCGCCACTGGACACTAGTGCAGTGGAGACCTGTTCTCTGGAGTGACAAATCGTGCTTCTGTCTGGTGATCCGATGGATGAGTCTAGGTTTGACAGTTGCCAGGAGAACAGTAATTGCCTGACTGCATTGTGCCAAGTGTAAATTTTGGTGGAGGGGGGATTATGGTGTGGTGTTGTTTTTCAGGGGTTGGGCTTGGCCCCTTAGTTCCAGTGAAAGGAACTGTTCATGCTTCAGCATACCAAGACAGTTTGGACAATTTCATGCTCCCAAAGTTGTGGAAACAGTTTGGGGATAGCTCCTTCCTATTCCAACATGACTGTGCACCAGTGCACAAAGCAAGGTCCATAAAGACATGATGAGCGGGTTTGGTGTGGAGAACTTGACTGGCCTGCACAGAGTCCTGACCTCAACCTGATAGAACACCTTTGAGATGAATTGGAGTGGAGACTGTCAGTCCATCTTGTCCAACATCTGTGCCTGACCTCACAAATGCGCTTCTAGAAGAATGGTCAAAAATTCTTAAATTTTGTGGACAACCTTCCCAGAAGAGTTGACGCTCTTTTAGCTGCAAAGGGTGGGCCAACTCCATATTATACCGTACAGATTAAGAACGGGACGTCATTAAACTTCATGTAAAGGTAGGCGGCCCAAAACTTTTTGCAATGTAGTGTATGTATTATGTCCTAGTGTTATAGTCAAGACCGCCCAAACTGAGCCCAAGTCAAGACCAAGAACAGAGTTTATCGAGACCGCGACAAGACCAAGACTTTTAGGGGCTGAGAGCAGTTGAGACCAAGACCAGTTCCATGCATTGCATGGCACACAATAAAATGTGGAAAGAGATCATAGGTACTTCTGAAATTGATCTGAACTATTATGTTCTCTGTCAATCAGGGAAAATAACCCTGACAAAGTCATAGTGATGTCATCAGTGACTACATCTCTTCAACAGAAAGCCTGTGTTACAAACTGGATGTGTGGAGTTTGAAAGACGTGTGTGTTTACCAGGCAGCAGGGATCTACCTAAAGATGCTATTTAGTTGCATTATGGGAAACGTATCTCGGCCTTTGCTGATTAGATTTTGGTCATTCCTTTTAATGGACGTATGATACTAAATCACTGGCCCTTTAAGAGGTGGCACATTTAGCCCTTTGACACATTTAGTTGCCTAAATATTTTAACTGGTCTCTAAGTTACCCCACAAGAAAGAACAAAGAGAAAAAGTTACTGAGGTTGCTCGGTCAGCCCCAACTGGACCACATGTTGTCTATGTCTTGGTATTGAAAATGACACCATTGTTGCCACATGACTTTCTTTCCAGGTACACCTGCAGACACAGCAGGAGGTGAAGATGAGGATGATGGGGATGGCTGTTCATGTGGTGAAGAGCGACGGTGTGCTGGCTCTTTATAACGGCCTCTCTGCCTCACTTTGCAGACAGGTATGTGTGTCTGTGTGTATGCTGAAGTCTGTTCTTGAAATTCTGTGTGTGTTGTGTTCATTAGTTTGTCATTTTTATTTTCTATTTAACCTGGTAGGTCCCATTGGGGGTGGAAACCTCTTTTGCCAATGAGACCAGGCCAAGACTATAGCAATAAAAAGTTGCAGACAAAACAATACAAAATCAGACACCAGCCAAAACTACACTGAAACGGATGATAATACTAAAATAAGCCTAAAGGTGGGCTAAGAACAGACTTAGTTAAGAATGGAGGCAATTTCCATATAGTTTACAATAGTCTTAAATTCTACCAGAGATATCAGACAATTTTTAGTTTGAAGGGCTTCAACAGCACTATATGACACTGATTATTGCTCTTTTTTTAGTTTGACTGTGTCAGTGTTAATAGTTATGCCATGTTTTCTGTTATAATGAGTTTGCTGATTGCTCTCTGCACTCAGCAGTCTGTGTATAAGACATGTTCTTGCTCTTGTAGTCAAACATAAAATCAAAATATGATCATCTCATACCCTCGTATGATTTTAGTATCCTTTTCATAACCTACAGGATGATTGTATAGATTATATTGCGGTAGACACTGGCTGGTATTGGCATAATAATGATAATAAAATTAATCTGTTTTATTAATACAGCACCTTTCAAAACAAAGTTACAAAGTGCTTTACATTGTTAAAACAGGATTAAACATTTCAGGACTGCAAGGAGACAAATAAAATCAGATTATTGAAATAATACACAAATAAAACACCCAACAATAGAATAATAATAATAAAACAATAGTAATAATGAAGATGAGAGATATGTTGGAAATATTACAGTGTGCTAGCATTAATTAAAGATCTTTTTTAAGATAAATTTTGAGAAGTTATTAAGAAAAATTAGTCCACATTGCGTTCTTCAGTGTACATGACTCAGTTTTTTCTTAAACAGAAATAAAGTTTGAGTAAAATAATTTTTCTGGTTAGAGGAAGAGTGGGAGTATGACAGACCACATTAGAACAGGTTTTTGGGTATATTTTGTGTAAAAGGTTCCTTCAAATGTTGTTTCAGTAGGTTTCCTAGTTACTGTTATTAAAAGGCCAAAATGTTGTGGCTGCAGGATACTGTCAATAGATCAATAGTTTTATAAAGAGGACAGCAGTGTGTCCAGCAAGTCTGTTGATGTTGCAGGAGATTAAACATGATTGGAGGGAGAAAGAGAAGTTTGAATCGCAGCCACTGGATAGTGATGATGAAGAGTAGGATACGTTTTATCCTGTAAACACTGCATCCTGTTTAGCTTCTGTCCTCAGACTTAAATAAACCTTAGACTCATTATTTTTACCTCCTCTCCACTTGTCTCGTCTCTTCTCCTCTCAGATGTCCTATTCCCTCACCAGATTTGCCATCTATGAGACAGTGAGGGACATGATGGGCAGCACAAGCCAGGGCCCCATGCCCTTTTACCAGAAGGTCGTGCTGGGAGCCTTTGGAGGTGAGAACTCACAAACACACACACGTAGTGTCACTCATACAGGATTGTGTGCCAACAAGATTACTCTGCCAACAGGTTTCACTGGTGGGTTTGTTGGCACGCCGGCAGACATGGTGAACGTCAGGTAACGCGCCATGATACAATTCAGTCTCTCATTAACATATACACACAAATTCTTCTAAACAAGCAAACTGTTTGTGGTTAGACATGAGCTTAGCAAATAGTGTATTCAAAAGATCTGAACAGTTTGTGCTTCTAGGATGCAGAATGACATGAAACTACCACCAGAACTGAGGAGAAAGTGAGTAGTTGTGAGTTACTCGGCTAAAAGATTTCAGTTTGACGTTCTTTTCATAATTTAACCCTGAATGTGTTTTGTTCTTTCAGCTACAAACATGCCATTGATGGGCTCTTCAGAGTCTTCAGAGAAGGTAAATCCCAAGCCGAATATTGTCCAATATGTAACTTCATGTAAAGCACAGGCTGGCATCATGTGTGACCTCCGACCTGTGTCCTGTCCAACAGAGGGTGTGAGGAGACTGTTCTCAGGAGCCACTATGGCCTCCAGCAGAGGAGCGATGGTCACTGTGGGACAGGCAAGTCACAGCACTATGTGATGAGATGATTTATGATCAGGAACCCTTTTTTTGGCATTTCAGGTATGCAGTTTACTTAAAGAGACCCAAGGGAACATCTGTCTCTCTATTTTTATATTGTACTTTATTCTACCAGGGCTAGCACAATTACAATTTAGATACATTTTTCTTAAATACATTAGGAAGATATTTATTAGTCATGTCAAACTAAGAATCCATCTGTAAGTCCTTTTTAATAAGATAATGGAATTAAATTAAAAGTACATTAATTAATCAATACTGGATCAATTTCCAACAGACTGCTTGTTCAATGCATAATGCATTATGCATTAATCCATATAACCTCAGCATCACTTCACAAGTCTGTGTTGGCAAGCATATCTAAAGGAAAATTTCCTCCAGACTGTAGCACTGATTCCACTGTTTTTCCAAGTAAAAAAATGGTGTCAAATGTACCTTGATTGATCAATTCTTTTCTTCATCAAATCAACATGCAGCTTTGTAGGGGTCTTCATAAATATTTCAAACCACCCTTTATGCTAAATATCCCCAAAATCAGTTGTCAGTCCCTTCTTATCATTTGGTGGTGGTCATCTGAATGCCAGAGTGTCTATATTTATTTGTTTTTTTTTAATTCCATTGGGCCAAATACTGAAATTAAAAAATGTCACACTTTTGACAGGTTGATATTTTTGCTATGTTTTTGACGGATTGCATAGATTTTTAAATACATAAAGGCCAGTTAAGAAACTTGACAAATGTCATGTAAGTGCTAAAATCTAACTGCTAACTGCACACATTATTTTCATAAGCTTTTTTAAAAAAAATGGCAAATTGAGGCCAAATTTTGGTGATGGATCTCACAGCTTCCAAAAGCTAAGAGGTCAGTTACTGTACTGGCATGATTTTCTGTTGCTCATTACACTGTTTTCTGGAGGTCAAACTGTGTTGAGGATGAAGGATTGGGCGTTCAGCCAGCTGCATGTAGTAAAGAGATATAAATACATCAGCACAGATTATTTGTTTTTGTTTTTTTTACCATGCCACACATTTTTCTCCTTTTTCCCCATCTTTAGTTGGCGTGTTATGACCAGGCCAAGCAGCTCGTGCTGGGAACAGGCATGATGGGCGACAACATACTCACACACTTTCTCTCCAGCTTCATTGCTGTAGGTATCAGGTTTTATTTGTGTGCACTGGAAGCCTGAGTGACTCAGTGTAAAGTTGACAGGGCTCTTTTGTGAAGTGATGAACTGTTCCTCTACAGCAGAGGTTACTAATAGGCGCACCGCGGTCCGGATCCGGACCCAGCCGCCGTATTGTCCGGACCTGATCTATTATTGAGAATTACTACCTTATGACAGAGCGTTTCTATTTTAACCCGCGCAGCTTTTCTAGCATTTACTGTACTGGTTTAGCGGCCCGGGAAACTCTCCGACCGCACGTGTTCCAGTCATCTTATGTGATGCTGCTCAGCCAATCAGATCTGTGCATTCTGATGAGCATTACCAGAGCAACACAATGCTCTGAAGCGATCTCGGTGACGTACGGACAATCTCAACACTGATAGGCTATCGCGACTCAGCGTCATGCGACTTCTTGAAAATATTCAGCTCATGCGAATTCCTTTGCGTTGCCTTCACGTCACAGGCCCCGCCCCCTTCGTACAACAGGATATCGCGGCTCTACACGTCTTTGCATTGACTTTGTATGTAAACTCACTTTTGGTCTGAAAGCACCATTACAGAGAGAAAGAAAGAGAGAGAGCGCTCCATTTATTTATTCTCATAGCTATGCCAACAGAGTGATTATTACCAAATCTTTTTTTTTAACTTTGTTATGGCAAGACTAGCAGACCCAAGTACAGGACTAAGAAAGGGGAAAAATATTTATTGCAGGTTAAAAGGATCGGATATTGAGCAGCGCAAGAGCGAGGCAGAGTGAAAATAGATGCGTGCCGAACCGGGTTGCAGGTTGCTGTGCAGAGCAGGGGGAACCGTAGCTGAGAGTCCAGACTGAGAGAGTCTGATCCGAGCAGGTCCAGAGCAGAATCCGGGAATAGTTTCGCGGGCGGGGGTCCAGGCGGAGAGCGCACAGGATGAGCGTATTTTCGGTAGCGGAACTAAATCTAACACGTTATTATGCAAAATTGTCTTTTGACTTTAATTATAGCGACTAAATGCTCTTCTTCTACAATCGGCCTAATATACAGTAATTAGGCTTATTTAAATGTGTTCATTGTGTTGCTGTTTGTTTCCAGCCTACAGTTCACTGATTAATTTTAAAATGTAGGAAATTTGACTGATCTGATCTGTAATGAAATTAAGCAATTGTTAAATGAGTAAACACCATAACTTCCACACTACTGCAGTCATCACTCAGTTTAAAGTGCTCCCACACAGCTGAGGGCTTCTTTTGGTTTTCCCATTGATGTGATCTGGAGCATTATGTTCACTGCTGTCAGCGTGGAGGTCAGGCGCGCGAAAAAAAACCTTAATAATCGGATCTCATAATTGAAAATAGAATGTGTACCCAATGGTCGAATATTTGGGTCCAGCCCTACCGATTTGACCTTTTTTATATACAGTCAGTTGTTAACTGAAAGCATATGTTGATACAAATAGGCTACACATTATGGTAAGTTACTGAAAGTTGATGATCCGGACCTTTGCTTTGTGAAATTTTTTCTAACTGGACCTCTTTGAATTTTAAACCCTGCTATACAGGGAGGCTGTGCTACATTCTTGTGTCAACCTCTGGATGTACTAAAGACGAGGCTGATGAACTCAAAGGGAGAGTACACAGTGAGTATACCTTGGCATTGTCTCCTCTAATCCGTTCATCCTTGTGAGTTTATCCAATTTTTTTATTTCTCAGTGTTCATTCTAATCTAGTGTATCTCTCTCTCTTATTAGGGGGTGACTCATTGCTTACGAGAAACTGCCAAGCTGGGTCCGCTGGCGTTTTACAAGGTAATGAACAGTGCTAGAGACTAATCATTAATGGCATTGTGGCTATTTAGTGCCAGTTTTAATCAGAGGTTCTTGATTACATGTAATCTATATGAATTAAGCTGTAATTTCATACAAAATTGTAAAGTAAAAAGACATTGAGTGCTGTCTCCTGAATATATTTTTAGGAAAGTTGGACCAAGTGCCCATTGACTATGGTATAAGGGCTGACAATGGTGCAAAGGTGAAATTTAACTATGTAATTAAGGGGCACAACAGTAGCCGACAAGTAGTCATTTCGTAACAACTATGGGCAATAGGCTACATCTTATGAGAATACTATAAATAAATCATGTAGAATGTGCTTAAACATGCTATTGCATATCATTATTGTCTGAAATGTAAAAATAAAAAAGAGAGATGAATTCAGGTGCAGAAGTCACTACCAGTGAAGGTGTGTAATAATTTAATACTTGTGAATGCTCTTTAAGTACACATAGGGCTGGGCAATAAAACAAAAATGATATTTGCAATATGATTTTTAGGCCTGACACCCAACAGCCGAAGATTCGATGCTTTGATGGGCGGTGCCTGATTCGACTGTCAATCTCATAGTCTTTGCAGAGAAACATGGATCATGCCATTTTGGCGATATGGGGGTGCTCAGCATCTGATTTTACACAGAACTACCAGTTTTCTCCCAATAAGTTAATATACAGCCTATTACAAAACATATTTCAACGTTTAATGCTGTAAATAAACATGTAAAAAGAATAAAACTTTCAATAAATGTTATTAAAAGTGCAAGTGTAAGTTGAATGAAGAGAGACTGCAACTCTGCAGCTTCTCAAGATTAAAGCGGAGCTACCGTGTGTACCTCAAATTTGTGAAGTCATCCACTGTTTGGCATATAGTGTTTGTCACGTTCTGACCATAAAGAAAAGTTTAGCCACAAAATTAACCATCTGGTTTCTTAAATTTTCACTCAGGAGCAAAAATCAGCTTTTACACTGGAAAGAAATGATGATTTAACATTTATTGTGATAATTATCGATATCAAATGATATGAATTTTTTTATCGTCATATCAAATTTGGCCATATTGCCCAGCCCTAAGTACACACCTATTTGTCCTCATTGTCCTTTTAAGAGATGGGGAAAGTCTTACAGGCATGTGTACATCGACCATAAGCTATGAAATTACTTTTAGCCTGTTACATAATAGTGATTGAGTGAATCAATGAATGTTTTGAATGACGCCATTACTCATCGGACAGTATACACATGCATGTATGAAGCATTTTAAGATCAAGTTATAATTTAAAGTCCAACTGAAATGAAATTACATGTTTCTTTAAAGCCACACAGCATCCAGATGTATTTGTAATGTATAAGTCCTGTGTTCTTTTGAGGAAACAGCAGTATCCAGAAGGGAGAAATTTATGTACTGTATGTCAAGTGTGATAAATGACCTGCATGTACAGCAGCTGGCAACCCACCTTAATGATAAAGTACCTGTTTTATACTAAAGTACTTAATAGGCATAGTAGCTTTAAATTGACGGATGTAACGGGAGAAAACTACAAATGCTAATCTAATGCCAAATGTTTGTTGCAGGGTCTCGTCCCCGCAGGGATCCGCTTGATTCCTCACACAGTACTCACCTTCATCTTCCTTGAGCAGCTGAAGAAGTACTTTGGCATTCGCATCATCTCCTGAGCATGCTCGGTGACTGGCCGCTCTCCAAACCATCCACCGACACTGCCGCACACATCACCCCGTGAAGGGGGCAGAAAGGGAATCATGTACAGTTTACTATGGGCTCGTGCATGTTTCCGTTCGCTCTACCTCTGTCTCACAACTACAGATGAAATGATTTTGATAATTTTATATATATATATATATATATATATATATATATATATATATATATATATATATATATATATATATATTTTTTTCTTTTTTTTTTTTTTTTTTTTTTTTTTAGGGCATTAGTACACCAACTTTTGGAAGGGGCAACTACTAGAATTAACAGACAGAAATGCTTAATATAAGTGGTGTAACTGGGTAATTAGAATGACCATGACATTTAGAGAGTTTAAAATTAGCTCTAGCAGATGTTTACTGTAGTTGTCCAGTATAATTTCAGGTACGATTAGTTACAGGATGAGACGTACTGATAGAAGGAGCACTTCAACACTTGTCATGTTGATGACCGTCGAAATATTGGTTTGAACTAATTCCAGATCAGATATTGGGATTTATGTTTTAATCTCAGCAGTAATTAAACCCAGTTCAGCAGTGGTGTTCGGTGCCTTCAGAGCCCACACCAGTGTTTTTGATTATGGCTTAAAAAGGTTTGTGCCAGGAATGTGATTCCTGTTACTTTATTGGTGTCATATTAGGCCAAGACTGAGTTTATGATTTAGCAGAGGTTCAATGGGGGTTCTGATGATCTAAAAATTTTCCCAAAATCCATTACTAACACATGACTGCACAAACCGTTATGCAAATGCATAGTAATCATTCCCAACAGTGGTGACCAAGTGTGAGGCACCCTGAATTTACCAGAGTTGATTTATTTGTTTGTTGTTTCTTCACTAAATTAATGTTTTAGAGCTGGAAATCAACTACTAGCAGGTTAGCATGTAACATGCAACTTTTACCTGATTCTCCTTTACATCATTCCGATCCTCTGTCATCATATCGAGAAGAGGACCAAGCTTGTTTGTCTGCTGTTTTTAAGTAAATGGGAGTTTGTGTGGAAACTGTGAAGCAGGGAGAGCACATTTGGCAGTGGGTCTTTTTTTCCAGTCATAGTGAAATTCTGTATGACCACTTGTTCTTACTGTTTGAATAGAGATGCCTGTTGAGAAGCCTGAAGAGAACTGCTCTACTGTACAAGTGTACATGTAGCATTTCCATCTGTGATGGGATCATTTAGCTGAATGCATGTCTGACTTTATGACTCAGGATGCTACTCTGTTTTATAAGGCACTTTATTAAAATCGCTGGACTCATACTGATTAACCTGCTGTGTAGAAACACATGCTCCATACTAAAGCGTGTTCTAAAAGTAAAAATGGAAATGTTTTCAGATGTTGTCAGTGGTTCCAATTGAGGGCAATCTGATGTTTTGTGACTCTTTTCAGTTACAATAAGTTTGACCTTTGTTCAGTGATAAAATGAAATCTGTGTTTCCTCTGTTGACAGACACCTTGTCAAGTCATGTTGCCTTACAGTATGTGTCCTCCAGGGGGCAGTTTAGTAGCGTGTGAATAATGTTGATACCTTCATCCTAGTGTACATTTAAAAAGAGACACAAACAGGGAGCAACCTCAGATAGACTGTCTATATCTGCTCATTCTTATGTTCATGCTTCCCTCAACAATGTGAGGTACTGTAGATCAGCCACAGTAAGTAACAAATGAAACTGGAGGGACCCACAGCTCTGGGTGTTGCAAATTTGCATTTTGTAGATCACGAACTAATGATACATAAAATTAAAATACTAATGTGAAAATACAAGCTTTTTGTGCTGTTTGACTGTCTTTTTTTGATAATACAGTATCTGACATTTATTTATTTATTTTATATTAACATTTTATAAATCAACTGCAAGCCCTCTGGGCAGAGTTCAATCCACATCATAAAACATTTGTTTCTGTGTGCTGCTGCCGCGGGCTTGCTGACTGAATCAGGCTTCACCCTCATCAGAACAAGACATATTTTAATGATTGCTCCACCAGTCTTTCATACCACCCCACAGACCTAAGATAAGAATTACGGCCTCCCACCTGGCAGGACCATCCACAGTTAAGTGCTAATATGCAGCTGTAATGATGAATGTGTGACTCCGTTCCTCTGCTCAGATTAACATTGCTGTCCCTTTCTTAATTAATACAATTCATCACATGCAATGCATCAATGACTGTAACTGCTCACCTCTACCATCACATGTATGTGTGGGAATTTGTGAGCCTTAGACCTCTACATACTCTCATCTTCATGTCAGGAGTGCTAATTTTGCCCAACTGAGGAACATGCTGCCTGTGTGTACAGTGATGAGGAGAATCAGGCTGTATGCCTACTTATTGTGATGTTTTCGCTCCAGAAATGTGTTTTTAATTGATCAACCACAGTGATTAACTATCAAGCAATCAGGTTCTGTCTATAAATATCTGGTGTTTTCATAGACAACCCAAGTGAAAAAGAAATATACTTAAGTAGCACTTTTTTTGGATGCACTTATCATATTTTAATTGTACTATACTAAGTGTATATTAAATTTGTTATTTTGGAACAACTTAAGTGTAATTTTAGAAATACTTAGTCAACTTTAAGATAATTGCAATATATTTTAATGTACTTAGTTGTGTTAAAATGGACCTATTTTATTACTGTAATTTAAATGTACTTTTTAAAATTTACTTAAAATACCCTTTTGTGCTATACTTGAAGAACAGTTTAAATATATTTTAAATGTGTTCCCTGAACATTTTTATTAGCATTTGAGCATATTAGTAATTTTTTACTAGCATACTCCAAGAGCCACTATTAATATCTTGGGAAGCTGCTTTATGAAACCATTCAGTATGAGAATAATGCATTATTAATGCATTAAAAATATCTTGCAAAATGCCCTTTTAGCCTTATAATAACAACCAGTAAAAAAAAAAGTATTTTACAACACACACACAGACAACTAAAAAACTTGAATTTTGTGTATATTACAAAAATTAAAATGTACATCAGCATGTATCGCATCTTGACCAAAATACCTTCAAATAAAAAAATCCGTAAAATGATGACATATGATCAGTATTACTGAAAAGTACACATCATTAATGTTACCCATGGGGGTCCCTCATACGGTTCGGACTCTGGGCCCGGCTCAGATGACCTCACGGTAAGCCATCCCACTTCTGACACCATGCGGTCAAAGGCGAGAGCACTCACCCTACCCAGATTCAAACACAGTTCTACAACATACCAAACATGCAACTTTGACAGCAACGCCAAAGAGCCAGGCTCGTTTGTATGGCAGTCCAAGCGCTTACTCAACTGTAGTGAAGGTACTCCGTCACAAGCTTACAGTACAAATGGTGGAACCAAACTGAAACTGAAAAATGTCACAATCCTTATCCTTGGAGTGGAGGGTCGGTATCTTTGAGTAGGACTCGTTGTATTTTCTGTGACTGCAGACACTATTTGGAAACTGCTTTATCACACAGCATCTGTGGAAGGGAAAAGGAAATATTTTGTCTATATCAAAGCAATATTACCAATAATTAATTAACAACCATTGTCAGATTTTTTATTTTGTTTGAAGTTGCTAAAACACAATATGACATCATGTCTTAACTGTTCTGATGCTAACTATTTAGGTTCAGGTGCAGTGTTTCCCACAGAATGTCAGCGTAAATGTGGCGGTGGACGGGGCAACTTTAGTTAGTGATATGCCAAATTTCGCTTGCCTGCCGAGAATTGCATGCACTTCCAAATACTGCTTTTAAACGCTATAATTTTCTTTGTGGGGTAAATGATTCGAAATATTTCATGAACGTTTAGAGTAGTTTAGAGCTGTTGATATTTTATTAGCTACAGTTAGCAGAAGCCGCATTCCTTGAGATTTAGCAATAAATATGTGGTGATAACCGCAGTTGATCAATGAGCACAGCAAAGTGTCTTAAAAGGTCCTATACAGGTGGATACATAATTAGGCAGAACAGATGATGTAGGCTAATTTACCTGCCGAGATTTGCGATGAGACTTTCTTTTCTCGGCAGGTAGGCAGAATTCACACCCGGCGCTGCAAAACGTCACCATGATGTCACATCACCATGACATAACATTACCTTGTGGGAGCAAGGCGGTGGCAGGCGCCGAGTCTGGCGCACGCGGTTGTTTTTCTCTGGCTGCACAAAGTTGCAACCACCTATTTGCCTGATCATTGTTCAAAGCTCACAGTAAGCTCACGCAGTCTACTGGAGGTAGATTGTGTCGGCGCTGTTTTTATACCCCGCCCCCGCAGTCGCCTGCATCTCACATTGGACTATCCTATCAAATCTGCGAAAGTCAGCCGCAGTCATCTCGAACGCACCTATTGACTACCAGTTATGAATAGCGTGCTATCTTCAACAGCTGTAGGCCCATTCTAAAGTTAACATAGCTATCCTTATTGGCTAGGCTCCTTACATGGTCGCTAATAACTTTTTTAAAGTGTGCAGTGGTGTTCATGATACCAACCATTCAATTCGCAGAAGGGTTGTTTGCGTGCAAGAGATAGAGAGGTGCGGCGACCGAGTGAGGTGAGCGAATATGCACTGTGTAGCACTGCAATTAAAATGGGTCGCCAAATTTGCTTGGCCGGCCGCAAAGCCTATGTGTGGGAAACACTGAGGTGAAATGGTTTTCCACAAGGGCCCCGTCCCAGTAAATGCACAGTTCTTCCATTACAACATAATCAAAAACATTGCATTCAGCCAAGGAGCTGTATGTGATAACATTTTATTAAACAGGTACAACAATTAACACAAACATACAGACTTGCTTCACAACTGTTCTGTCTACATCATTTCACATTAACACAGCAGTCAATTTATGAAGTACAAAAGTAGCCAATTACTTAATGTATAACAATATTTTAAATAAAATTATTTTTTCACAAGAATATTTGTTTATTTAGTCTGACCCCTTTGACATGTAGTGAGAGCAAGAACAGTGATGGTGTGCAGGAGCCAGACATACCTATGAGCAGGTTGAGCTTGTGAGGGTCCAGCTGGTCCTTTGAGATTTTTGTGGCCTCTGAGCCATCTGAGTGAGGCAACGATCCCACGAAGCTCTAAAAGCAAAGAAATGCAGTTGCAAATTAGTTTAAATATTCAGTTAGGCCAGTACTTCCACCTAGTTT